TTAGTATCCTATATATTTATTGTTTGTAATATATATCAAAAACTTCTCTTCTCTTTCTGTAAGGTTTGTTTTAATAATTTCCAGTATTGCAATTTCTTCTTTTTCTACTCAGCTTAGCAGATTTCTGATTTTTAACCTTTAGTTTTAAGTCCATTGACATTATGACATGCAATTTTGATTTTTTTCCTTCTTTCTTTTATTTTTCTTTAGATTTTTTTGTATCTTTTTCTTCTTTGTTATGCTTTCTTTCTTTTTCTCAGTTTCTTTTTCTTTTAGATTAAGAGATTTTTCTTTTCTTCTTTTTTTAAATATTCTTCTTTCACTTTGCAAGAAATCTTTGATCTTCTCATTTATATGCATTAATTCAACTAGTGTGCCTTTAGAAGTGATTAGCCAGGACTGCCTGGCCTTGTTGAGTTTCTAATCTTTCTAACCTTTCTAATATTTTTTAAAGAACATTGTGCACCTGTAGTTTTGTTTTTTTGATTTCACTTTTTCTTCTTTTGTAACTATTGTGATGCTTGTTGTTTTTCTTTTCTTGTTTGTTACTATTGCTGCTTCTATATACTTCTATCTCTAAGTCTTTAGTAATATCTTCTATATTAATATATTTAACATTAACATTTTTATTCTTGTTTATATATTTGTCTTTTCCTTTCATATAGTCTTGTCAGAAGAGTAAATAGTTGTTGAATCTTATTGGCTTTTTTGTGCTGCTTCTATTTTTTTTGCTAATGCAAATGTAATTGTAGCTGTTCTTCTCTGGTTTTTATTTTTATTAGGTGGTATGTACACTGATCTTGCATCTTTTTTCTTTAAGCACTGTAATAACAATACTTCTGATGCATGTTCTAGGAGTTTTACCAACCTAGTTGTGAACTGGTTTTGCAGATTATGCTAATTAAAATCTTCTTCATCTAATGTTACTCTTGCTAATTTGTGTATTTCTATTGGCAGTGACTATGGGATACTTTCTTTATCTTTTTTTTTGTCTTAATTATTGCAAGCACTTTGTATTTGGATCTTTTAATATATTTTACTTGGGCTTTTTTAATACTTCTGTATATATAATCTACTTCTTCTATATTAATATTAGCTAGAAAATCCTATATCATTAGCAATGATCTTATTTTTGACTTATTTTCTATTATATAAGTTTCTTCATCATTTTCCTCTTCCTTCTGTTTCTTAGTATTTTTGGATCTTTTTTCTTTTTTCTTCTTGACTTTGTATACTTGTTGACTTTGTTTTCTTTTTTGACTTTCTTGTTCCTCTGAAATAATTTTAAGCTATTCAACTTTTTTCTTTTTGATTCTCTCTATTGCTGCATCTCTGCTAAATTTACAGTTGAAGTTCACTTTTACTCAACTATTACTATTTTTGAATACCTCTTGAATTAATTTAATGTGTTAATTTTCTTGAAAAATCCATTGAGTGTATTTTATTCTCTCTTTTTTGTTCTTTTCTAATACTAGATATGTTGATATGTTTGCTTTAAATAATTTGTTTGTCACATATATGATTTCTTAGTGATTCTAACTTTGCTCTATCATGTTTGTTATTTTTGGAGTTTTTTGGCTCTTTTCTTCTGCTTTTAGTTTAGCAATTTTTTTATTTATTTCTTTATCTTTTTTTTAAATTTATATATTCTATCATCAATTAGAGAATCTTGGCCTTCTTCATCTGTTTCTTTCTTATTGTTGTTTTCACCTCATGCTGTGCTTTGCAGTTTTCTTTTAGTTATATTTTGAAAACTTTCAGGATTTGGTTATTGTATAGTTGAGATGTTTAGGTTCTTCATTTGTCTTATGACCTCTTGCAAATCTTGGGTTATTTTCTTCTCTTCATTGTTGTCTTCTTTATTCTTCTTCTCCATAATCAGTGCTATTTTTGTTTTTTTGTTTCTTTTGTCTTTTCTGTTCTTTCTGGTTTAATTTTTTTCTTAGATATTTCTCTTTTATTTGTATTTTCTTGATAGTTGAATGACTTTGTGTTTATATCTATTGTTGCTAATTTTGTTGCTTATTCTTCTACAATACTATATGATACTATGCATACTGCTACTGTTTTAAGTACTTCTAAAATTTGGCCATACTGAAGTAGATTGTCTGATGTTATATTTTTTGGATCATAAACTGCTAGATCTCTTGCTATATACTCTAAGTTGTTTGGCTTATTTATTGGCTTTGCCAAGATTGAATCTAGTATTTTGCTTTCTATATATCTTCTATTTCTATCACCAAAGCCTTTAATATGTTGTATTAGGTTTGTGCTACATGATAGCCTCAATCTTGTTTGTACTTTTGTTTCTAGACTTTTTTAATATTTATTCATCTGCTTGCTACACATGCTGTACTGGATGCATCTATATACCCTCCACTGAATTTGGACTTATATGATGATCGATGCCTAATTAGATGCACATGTTCATCTAAGATCCAATTCATTATCATTGTAAAAAAATGTCTTTTTCTAATTACTATTCGATTATTTATTTTATTATGTATATCTATATTCATCATTGCACTCAACCTTATAATATATTGCTGACCTTAACTACATATTTCAAATTGTATTAATATGATAATCTATACTTTTTATATGTTAGTAGATCTTCATATCAATATTTAAAAGTTTAATAAAAAAGGATTTTATTAAAAATTTTTGATTTTATGTAATTTGGATAACTTATTGGTTTAACAAGCAACTGTTATAAAAATATTGCCAGGCATGCAAACTGACAAATTTATTAATAATTTAATGATGAGTTTATATTTGTATATATGTCAAATTTTTTTAAACTGATATTTAGCACAAAACTATAAATTGATACAAGATTTTTAACGTATTATAGTTATATAAGGGAAGTTATCATAAAGATTGAACATTTAATACAGAATGAATTCTAATTTGTTTGTTTTTTTACATTGTAGTTAGTTTCTTTTATATCAGGTTTAGAAATACTGAAATTATTATACAAAGAACTATAGGCTTTTCTTTTTATTCTGGCCTCCACAATCACTTCTATATTAGTATTAGTTATTCAGTTTCAGTCATTTTGATTATAATAATCCTATACTTTTTGGAGCACTTCGACCCAACTATTAAAAGTAACATCACAGATCTTTTCAGGTTCTGTTATCAGTTAATCTGAAGCTATATGTGTGGTTAGCATCGAATAAAACTTTTAGTACATGGCAAATATGTGTTTGCATGCTATTCTATGAATTTTAAAGTCCACGCATATGCATTCGAAATGCACTGGTTTTATATTATCATTTTGTTGCACATTATTTTTGATACTAACCTTATAATGGCCATCCTTTGATAATTTTACAAGATAGCATCGGTCATTAGGAAAATTAAAAACATCCAAGTCCAAGCTGGCAAGTTTATGTTGTCGCTGTTTTTTCTGATGAGGTTTCAGTCTTCTAATCATAAGATGAACTGCTTCATATTCGAATTCAATATTTTTTAAGGTGTTTTTTAAAGTCCATATCAAAGTGTCAATTCTATTATTTTGTTTAGCCACAAAGTAAGTATATTTTAATTTTTTATGCCATGCCTTAATAAAATTTGTTGTATTCATTTCTTGATGCTCATATAAGCGATATGCATCAACCTATTTTTCATAATTATTCAGATATTCTTTTCTAATATATTCTACCTATTTAATTTCATTGAATCCTGTCCACTGTGCTAAATATTTATCAAATTTATTTTTTACTCAATGTATATTATGAATTCGCATTATGTTGCTTAGCTCGTCAAGCGCCACCTTTTGCGCCACCTGCTTTTTTTATCGTTTAAATATGATGCCATTATTTTCATTTTTTTCTTGAGGTTTGAAATACTTATTATCACCATTAATTTTACTTTTATTTTTTTGCCAGGCATTTTTAATATGCCATTGGCATAAAAGAATTCTGGCTTCAGAATATACTATATTAATGGTACTTTGTTATGTGTTATCACAATCAGTAAAAAAGGTATGAGATTTCCAGTTTTTATTTCATTTTTAATGTTTTCAAGCCAATAAACTAATATTTCTTTTGATTTTTTCTCTGATATTAAATGGGCTACAGGTACATTCTGTCCTCCATCATTATCTCGAATGAGCAAGATGAAAAGGTTCATTTTATGTGAAGTCATTTTGTGAGTATCATTAATACAAATGGTCTGCGCACTTTCTAATTTTAATTTTTCTTTTCAGAATTCTGTTTGAAAAGCATACATGAATCCCAATAATAAACCCTAACTTGGATTATTACATATATGTGATCCATCTTTCTTTGATAATATAATTCATTCTTTAATGGATGTATTTTCATCATAACCTTCTTGTTTGTTTCCTAAAAAGATTTCATCTTTCATCTTCTTACTAACAATGTTATATACATCGATGTAGGAGATATATAAGTTCTGTTTTTGTATTAAAGATAAGAATTCCAATTCATCAGTGTTATGGATTTGATTAATATGCTGATAGAACAAGACCAAAATTTGGAAGAATTTCATCTCATCTTTCACCCTTCTATGAATCCATTCTCTTGCTTGCTATAAGAAATTAAAATATCGTAGATCTTCAACAGACCCTAGTTTATGACCATTATGTGCAGTATAGTAAATAATCTGAACACAATCACCTTCTTTATTATAATGCTGTAATACATGTATATAAGATCTGCAGCCTGTTTTTTTTGACTGCTTCTGAACTGGACAAGGATGACTGCGACTAGATAAAGGTTTAACAGCCCACTTCATAGTACTAGCTGTTGATCTTGGATTATCATAACAATGGCAAACATATCTTTCATTTAGCCTATATTCTGAAGTAATATGGTTATCTTTATAAATATAATTAGCTTCTGCAAGATTCAGAAGGATATTTTTAATCCAATTTTTGTATGTCTTTAACTCAAAGTATGTATAAATTTTGATATACTTATTCATATCATTATTTTGTAATTCTGATTCAGGCTTGAGTTCTTTTTAAAATTTCAGTTTAGGGTCGAATTCCTCTGGCAATTCAGGATCAGATTCTCTTGTGATTCAAATTTCTCTTGCAATTCAAATTCTTGAATATCAGGTGTAGATTTGGGTTTATGTTCAGGTTTTTTCTGTGACTCAGATGCAGAATTGTTATTAGATGAAGGATCTTGTAATGATGACTTGGCATGCTTAACAACATCATTTATTAAGCCAGCTAATACTGAGTCTGTAAATGCACTTTGGTCATTCGTGTCTACTTTTCATGATCTGGTTTTACTGAGCTTAGGCAAAGTAGACCAATTTTTATTTGAATTACCAGACATTTTTTATAATGATTCTAAATGACTTTTAATTTTGGGATAAATATAATAGGCGATTTATTTCTAAAAGATGTTATAATTTGTTAACGTTGTGCTCAAATTCTTGTGCAAAAAAATGAATTTATTAAGATCATTATATATATTTTTTAAATACATATATTTAAGATCTAAGATCCTGGTCTAAAGCATTTTACAGTAATTAGTACAGTAAGTTTCTTCTTTACAATTCTTTATTTCTAATTTGATATGATCTAATATTTTGCTATCCTTTTTTTTTTCTCAACTAGATAAAACATGCTATAAAGTCTAAACTCCTAATCTAAAGCATTTTATAGCAATTAGTATGGTAGGTTTTGTTTTTACAATTCTTTATTCCTAATTCAATATGTCTAACATTTTATCACTTTCTCTTAACTAGATAAAACATGCTATATTATTATAATTTTCATTTAATGAGATTTATTATATTACATATAAAGATGAAATTCTTAACTGGGGTGTGGTGACCTAGTAAAGTGGTCAGGTTGTCAACCCTCCAAGTGGTAGGTTGGGTGTTCAAATCCCATCGACAGTG